GTTTTCAACAACTTTACAACGGAAGAAAAATCGTTGAATCGTGAGAAAAATCTGTGGTTTTGTTACAGATTTTTCTCCCGATTTTGTGAATCGCAAGGCGCTGACGCGAGTACTCACGACAGGTTATTTACATACAGCGAGCAAAATCGGCCCGACAAATCGCAGCGTGTAAACGTACCTTTAGCCTTCCAGTTATCAATCTCGTACCCAGAGCCATCGTTGAGGCTCTGGGTACGAGATTGTCCAGTTATTATTAGAGTTCTTTAGAGTTCACAAAGTTTACTGCACTTGAAACACCGCTGACTCGTATATGTTATATGTTGCAGTTTCAGATATGTACGTACGAAAATTTACAGAAAATGGAGGGTTGTCCGAGGTCTTTAATGTTAAAACTTGAACTAAAAGAATCACACGTAACTTCTTTTGCCCCTGCTTTGAAACGAGTAAGTATAAAACAACTTAAGCTAAATATGTGTACTTAAAATGGCCCTGTTTGTGGGGCCTTTCAACATATATGAACGATTTTCTTGACTGTTTTTAACAGTATGTACGTGAGTTTTATCACGAAGATGGGGAAACATATACTCAAGAATGCACTCAACTTGAACAGCTTAGAACGGTAATTATTATTTATAAACTATTTTGAAATATCTTGTTATGTTCTGCTGTTTGAAACTGATAAGAAATTATGTAAACTCGAATGACATAGTTTTGTATTTTCTTGTTTTGTTTATGGAAACATATTAACATCTCTGTATGGCTATGTGTTTAGTCGAAGTTTAAAGTTTAATCGAGTGAATAATAGTAAAAATACTTCAATTAATCTATGTTATAGTACCTTTTTCATAACTCATTTATAATGTTCAGTGTTCCAACTTTGATTGAAATGATTAAATATCTATATCTGCCTTGGAAATAGTTTATCAATATAATTGTATGAAATATGAAGATAATTGACAAATTTTGACAGCACGAATGTGTATTGTAAACAACAAAACGTTATGTTATTCTAATAAGATTTTTGTGACTATTGCTCTCATTGTGTCGTTTGATTGATTGCTTGCTTGATTGATTGTTTTGGACCTTACTATGTCATACTCAGAAGCACATCACAACTGGTAAACATGTCCCATTCGGCAGTTGTTGTCATATATACTGAATATTTTAATTTTTTGGCTATATCTACTGTATATATATTTTAATTAGTTGAATATATTTGCCGAGTATTCTGTCCTGAGCAGTGAGGGCAATAAGACTTATAATAGCTTGGCAGGTTGATTGTCTGATTTTAAAACATATACATACTATTTAACAAATTGTAAGTGATACGGTAAATCGTCTTTGTTTATCTGTTAGACACAGAGTATTCTTATTCTTTTGTTATAATAACGATCATAGGCATTAGTTAAGCTATTAATATCAAAATATACTGGCCATGGCTTAAACTTTGAAAGTAATATTGGGTCATTCCAGAAAACATCCATACCACCCCCACAGAGGAAATAGGAAGTTAACCCCCCTACCCCCTTCGGATGTCCTAATACATTTACTATTATCAGAAACATTTTTTTCTCCCCTCTCCCTCCGGACGGCAGACATTTCCTCCGTGGGGGGGTTGTCTGGAGCGACCCATTCGAAACATTAGTTCAGGGCTCGAAATAACCGGCCGATCAACGATCAATGATCGGCAGGAAATTGTTTTTGATCGGTGAAGAATCAACGTTGCCGTTCACCTTCGATCGGCAAGAAATATATTTGAGCATTGTCTGAAAGACATGCTTACCTGTACACGGTAAAAGACAAATAAAAGTAATATAAAACACATTTAAAAACACGCGAAAAGCTCTTGTATAGTTGATACGAGTCATACGACAGGAAAGGCAGCAATACTATTCTCGCTCTAAAGTAATTAATTTACTTTTATTAAAACAAATTTACACGAAATATTGTCGTCTTTTCAACAGTACAGTCTGCAATCCGAACCGCTGACGACGAACGTATCTTTGTATAATAATTTCAAATTGATAGGATTTTTTGAGTAGGATTTTTTATTTTTAGTAGGATTTTCTCTTTTAATATAAAATAATAAGTTTTAGTTCTTAATTGATAATGCTGCTGTGTTTCTTGCTTTTGTGTGAAAAAATGCAATGGTATAATTAAAACTGTGTGTTAAACTAAAGTGTTATAATAAAATAAAGTTTATTAAGCACTAGTTAAATATAGTTACACTATTAGTAGTGAATATATAAGTCCACAAATGTCATAGATTTAAACTTCAATTTGAAATAAAGTTAAACTTCAAATGTGTATTCAATGCCCACGGCATATTTAGAATTTTTTGAAGGAAATGAGGGTAAATGCTCCTGATCGGCCACATTTTTATTTGATCGGCAAAAAGTCCTCATTGCCGATCACCATGATCGGGAACGTTGCGAAGCTGTTTTCCGACCCCTAGGTTCTATAAAGTTGTACCTTAAAGCTAATTCATATTATTTCTGATGTGAAGAAAATATATTTGTGACCAGCACTATCCCAGTTTATAGCATGCTGACTAGCCTAGAGCGATTCATATAACTGAAACTGAAGTGAGATACACAAAAACATTTAAAAAAAAGTTTTAAAAAAGTTTAAAAAGTTAGATTTTCAAAAAAGTTAAAATTTTTTAAAAAGTTAGGGTTAGTGGTTAGGGGATAGTGGTTAGGGTTGGGATTAGGGTTAGTGTTAGGGGTGAATTATGATAAATCCAAAATGTGCTGCAAATTTATCATAATGATAAATTTGGATGTGTTTAAGAATTTACTCGTATAGTCCATTCCAAAGTGGAGCTCATGCTGTTGAAAAACAGTGTAGTTGTGACATAGTTATCGAAAGAGTGTATTGGCTATTACATTGCAAATTTTCAATTTGTAATTGCTATAAAAATAATTGTGTTTATTTTTATTATTTATATTTTCCTACAGGCTGTGATTAAACCAACTTATGACAATTCAGGATGCAATTTGTTACGGCGATATTATGGACAGATTTATTTACTCAAAACACGATTTGCTATGGGTGAAGGATCACCTGCCAGTGTTGAGTTTACTTGGTTGGTTGTACATACATTTAATGATAAATATATCAAGTTTATCTAGTGAACATTTTTATGTGTATAGGCATTGGAATGGACCCATTACCTAATGAACAACATTTTGATCTAGACAAAAATTTCATCACAGCTCGAAAGAGCATCACAAAATTGGTAATATTCCAAATTTTCGTTGTGAAATGTTGTAAAATGCGGGTAATGTAGCCCGGCGAAGTTTGCCATTTTTCAGTCATTTTGTATTAGGGAGTTTAAGCTTCGCGTTTCCGGGAACGGCAAACGGCAGATTCGAACTTTCTTCGCTAAATTTTCGTTAAACGTTTTCGTTTCATATTTTCTTTCTTGCGTCGAAAGAATAGTCATGCATTGCAGTTTTAAAACAGCAAGTTTATTTACTCTTTATTGCCTGATACCGTAAAATTTTTCTTTGCCTGGCATTTGCTGTTTGCCATATAACGCGAAGCTTAAGGTGGCTCCCTACAGTTCTCTAAAATTCTAGGTATTTTGAGTAACGTTCTCTTTCAACCGAATTTATATTAAATATACTTAAGACAGGGCAATATGATTGCTGTGTGCAGAAGCTGTGTGCTGTCCATTTATGAACAAATTAAAACAGTGTTCATGTTGCCACGGCAACCATGACGTTTAATCATTTGTACTTTTATTGTCTAATTTCACAATAAATTGACAATATCTATATTTTCCTTCGGTGAATTTTTCTGAAATTTTTTTTGAAGATTTATGGTCCATAAAGGAAAAACATATCAAAATTTGAAGGGAATTTACAAATAAGTTTTCGAGATATTCGTGAATGACGGTTACAGAAAAAGTTATTTGTAGAATTTCTTAAAATTTGGATATGTTGTACCACTCGTCTTGTGTAACAAAAATACAAAGTTTAAAAAAATTTCACCGAAGAAAACACGAGAAAATCATCGCTAAAATCGGCGTGGCCAGCATGAAAAAAAATCGACTCGACATGAGCACGATCTGCGCATGCGTGTAAATTGTAGCGTGTGATTTATAGTGATTTCAACTTTTTGGCTCACAATACATACGAAAACAGATATTTCTGACTTGTTTGACATGAAAATAAAATATTAATCTTGAAAATACTAATAAAAAAACACTATTATACGCATTGTATTAAATCCAGTGTTAGTTTACATTTGTTTTTGTTGTTAAAATCGGTGTGAAAACTTTTCAAAACATCGAACTACAAGTTTAACTTTTCATATAAAACAACTCATAACTGTTTTATTTGATTTAGCAGATAAAACGATACCTGTGAATTGAATTGATTGACAGAACTTACATAAGTTTCGGCGACAGTTCACTACTGTTCAAGAGTTAATAGAAGACAGTATCATTTCAGTTTGACAGTTCGCAACACAACAAGTTGAAAATTTTGAGCATTATGAAAGACAATGCTGAACGTAAATACGTAAAAACACACTAAAAGATAGGTTAAACTAGTTAATAACATCCATACTGTTCGAATTCAGAAAAAAATAGGATTATAATGAAAAACTGGATGTTTTATTTGTAGATAAAAACGCCAAAAAACTTCCCGCGGCTTGTTTCAATATTTTTACCGAACCGGCCCGAACAGTGAACACAACGATTCCACGCGCAGGTCGCTAGGATGAAGTCTGATCTATATAAATCGTATTTTAAACTGTATTAACTGTAGGGAGCCACCTTAAGGGTCAAAAAATTTTTCGGACAAATTCTTGTTAAGGTGGCTCCCTAGGGTTTTATTTCCGGGGGTTACGTTCTTCGTATATATGTAAACTAAAACTTGTATGACTTCAAAATACGAACGAACGTTGTGTTTTATATGGAACTCTTTTTTGAAACAAAAGTGTGAACTTTGCTTTAGTTGAAAGCATAAAAGAGTTGTAAAAGCCAAAACGATACTTGGATGTGATGTTTCAAAAGAAGATAATGTAAACTTGTTTTTTTTTCAGGCGGTATTCTGAATGTTTTTTGAACCGCCGTACGCGAGGTTCGATCGTGAACATTGGTATATAAAGTTTCCTCAAGAATTTCCAGTGTTTTCTCCACAATCTAGCAGCACTTATGACAATATAGATGACTTAAATAATGAGCCCTCTACGGGTGAAATGAGCAGGGCCGAAACTCCAAACATACCGCTATAAAAACTGAAATTTGAACGGGCATTTTGCGAAAACATCCGACGATAGTACTCGCAGGGGACGAATTTTGACAAACATTTTTCAAATTAATACCAAGAAGTCATAACCGGTAATTACCTAAATATCTTTGCCATTTTTACATGTATAATCCACGCTTAGTTGACCACTAACCGACACAGTTATAAACAGTATATCAAACATAATTTATATTTTGTGATTTCAAAAATGTCATGCCTTGTTGTTTTATGCAGAATGCATGTACACGTCAGTTGGGGTATTAAATTGTTCGCGTAAAAATCTAGTAAAAATTGTCAAAATTAATCCCAACTTTCTCCGTTATCCTTCGGTAAATTTTTTTAAAACTTTGCACATTTTTTAATATCGGTACAACAAGTGCAATATCCTTTTTTCTTAAAATTAAATTGATAGGAAAATTTTTAATATTGAATTTTGACGTTTTTTAAATTTTCTAAGAAACGTATTGATTTAATTTTTTTAAATTGAGGGGAAAAATTCATTATACAAGTATTATTGTTTATGCAAAGTTCTAAAAAATTTCACCGAAGGAACTTTTTAAAATGACCTGAAGAAGACAAATTGTGAGCTTTATTCTAAGCATGCTGTTGCCATGACAACATATTTTTAACACAAAAGTAGCAATTAGCAATGTTCAGGAGAACATTGTCAATGCGTCCAATAAATTTCGTCTTCATATCATGTAGAGTAAAGAAACAAGAATCTCCTGAATACTATAGTGTAGTAAATTAAAAAAACCTAGGGAGCCACCTTAAAACATGCATGAAACCCTTATTTTTTTACCAATATCTGTAAAATTTAGGTCTATAAATTCTATTCAATTCCCTCTGGAGGCCCTGGAATCTACTTAATAACTCTACATTCTATCATTTAAAATCTTTCATTGCCCTGCCAATCCAGATGATTTGTACTTTGGGGGGGGGGGTTCCCCCCCCCCCCACACACACACACACACACCTCAAGTTTCGTCCCTGAGTGTTTTATATGTGATAAAACACGACTACAAGTGCTTTAAATAGCTTCATCGAACGACTCATCTTATACGAGTTCATTGGCGAAGTAATTTTTAAAGTAAACTTTGTCTAAAGCGAGAAAATCAAAGCTAAAGTTTAAGTAAATTAACGTGCTTTTTTATCACATATAAAACCACGACACGCTTATGTTTTTTGATATTATTAATGAGTTTTTGATATCTCTATAAAGCACTATACTTTATATAATAAA